CAAAGCACCCCCACTTCCCGCCCGCCGCCTGCTCCGCGGCTGCACCGGCCGGGACGGCCGGCTGTGCCCTCCGCTGGGCAGGTGGGCTGACTGCCAACTCCACCGTGGTCTCCTAGTCCTTCCACTCCGGTGTTGCCGCCGCGTCGCCGCCTTTGTTATGGTGTCTGTGTGTTGGTTTCTAGGGTTGTGTGAGCGCCAGGGCCGGAAACCGAGAGCCCGGGAGTCCAGCCTGTGCCGGGCGGAGGCGGTGGCTGCTCCCCTGGCCCGACTCCTGCCCCCGGCCGAGGTGGGGGTTAGAGCGGCCCCCGGGCGTGGGGGCTGTCCTAGCCGCCTGCACCACTCGCCCGGCGCGGAGAGACGCTCGCCGGGGTTATGTAACTCGCCTGTCCCGGGGCCGGGGGAGGGCTCGGGCTCGGCACGGGGTGGTCCACGGCCCCATCTTCTTGCCCCAGCCTCTGATGTTGTCCTGTCACAGCTCCTGCTTCTACGAGCACTTCTGATCTTCACTGTCCTCTCCGCCCGCCCCCCCCCCCACCCCACTGGTGTGTCCACCCCTAGAAGTGTTTCCGTGTCAGAGGGTTAGCCCCTTCCCCTGGGACCACAGGTGGCTGTGGACCTTTCCCGAGATCATCCAGCCCGGATACTTAGTGTTCAGGTAGCCCCCGTCCCGAAGACTTTCTTCTGTATGTGTCTTAAGAGCCATAATGTACCTTTATTTTGCATGGATGTGACCAACACAGCGTACGTGTGCAGTACCCTCCCTGACACCCACTCTAGGGCATTGCCTCATTTAACCATGTTTACTCACCCTGACATCTAAGACATGTATGCTCACTTGTGTTGAGTAAGTAAAAGCACCAATTCCATAGTTTAAGGGCAGTGGAACTTGATTTTGTAATTTACAGCATTGCATAAATTATATGAAAAATCAAATATGTTAGTTAATTACAAAAAGGTCCTGAATCCACATTCACTATTCAGTTTATACATATCTGCGAAAGGCTCAATCACTATTGAATCTATCTGTGTACAAGGCAAATGAGAACTCAGCATACTGCCGATTCCATTTTCTTTGTGAGGTCATGTATTCTTAATAAGTTGTAAAGTTAGGGGCCGGGCGCGGCGGCTCACGCCTGTAATCCCAGCACTTTGAGAGGCCGAGGCTGGTGGATCACGAGGTCAAGAGATCGAGACCATCCTGGTCAACATAGTGAAACCCCGTCTCTACTAAAAATACAAAAAATTAGCTGGGCATGGTGGTGCGTGCCTGTAGTCTCAGCTACTCAGGAGGCTGAGGCAGGAGAATTGCCTGAACCCAGGAGGCGGAGGTTGCGGTGAGCAGAGATCACGCCATTGCACTCCAGCCTGGGTAACGAGAGCGAAACTCCGTCTCAAAAAAATAAAAGTTATGAAGTTAAAAATTTAAGTTGCCAAGCTGGTGAAAAGTTGTATTAAAAGTGTTTGTGTTTTAAATTTGATAGAAAGCAGCGCCAAGTCCCAAAGGAACTTTGTCGGTGATGGAATTGTTTTCTTTTGTGATATCCCATAAGGTAGCCAAGCCACATGTGGCCATGGAACATTTCATGTGGCTAGAGGGATGGAGGAACTGAATTTTGAATTTTATTTAATTTTAATTTGCATAGTCACATGTAGCTAGTGGCCACTGTATTGGATAGGGCACAGCTGTTGACCAGCCATGAGTTGTATTGTTTATTTGTAGAATACAATTGATTGTGATTTAGAATGTTCCCAAATGAGTGTAGACCTACTAAGCACAGTGTTCTTGTTATCCAAAAATGTTTTTCATCATCCTTGCTATCTTTATCATAAAGATGTCTTATCACCTCTTGGTGTCATGATCACTAGAGCCACTATTTTGGTTAATGATAGGCATTTTAAGTGGCTTTCTTACAATTGCCATCAGGAATATTTGCTTCATATCATCCAACATTTATTGACAATTTACTGTGGTTCTTTGTAGGAACTTGAGATTTATACTAGGGTTCAAATTCCAGCTCCACTCTAAAATTAACATAACCTAATCACTTATATTGCTTTATGACATCTCTGGTACATTGGTGTGTATTTGTGAAGCATATGTCTTGTTTAGCCAGACTTCCGCTCTGTTGAAACCAGGGATTTTCTTTCATTGTTTGTCATACAATGCCACAAGTCAAGTATCCATAAATACTTGATTTCTATGGAATTGAATACAAAGTAACAGGTACTATTAATGAAACTGGAGCCGGGTCTTGAAAAGGAAAAGCAATTTCAATATGATACTGGAAATAGAAGTATGTTTTTTGGCCACATTTAGTCAAGGGGGCTAGCTAATACCTTATCCAGTAGTTGATACATTATCAATAATGAAAGCTACCATTTATTGAGTATTTACTGTGAACCAGATGTCATGCAAAGCATATTATATGTTTTTGCTCATTTAATCTTGATTTCAGTTGTTGTAAGTACTCACATTTTATATGATGAAATCAAGGCTATCTTCAGCCCAGATCTTTCCTGAGCTTCCTTTTTTGATGTCTTGCCTATTTCACATTTCTTCTTAGATGCTTCAAAGGCCCCTCAAAACTGCACAGGTTCAAAATCCACCTCATTCCCACCCCAGGACAGATACTTCTAGTGATTCCTGTATTAATGAATGGTTCCACTGTGCAGTCACCTGGCAGGGCAGAAACCTAGAGATTATCTTTCGCACCTTCCTCTCTTTCTTTTTTTTCCCCCCCTTTTGAGACGGAGAATGCAGTGGCTCGATCTCGATCTCCGCTACTGCGGCCTCCACCTCCCGGGTTCAAGCAATTCTCCTGCCTCAGCCTCCTGAGTAGCTGGGATTACAGGCCTGTGCCACCTTACCCAGCTAATTTTTGTATTTTTAGTAGAGATGGGGTTTCACCATGTTAGCCAGGCTCGTCTTGAATTTCTGACCTCAGGTGATCTGCCCGCCTTAGCCTCCCAGTGTTGGGATTCCAGGTGTGAGCCACAGCGCTGGGTCACTTCCCTCTCTTTCATTTCCCATTTTTAAGCCTTTACTGAGTCTGTAAATTTTACCTTCTAAATCTCTATCAATTCTACTTATTTCTTACCATCACCGTAGCCCAAACTATCACCATTTCTTCTCTTTACCAATCACCTCAGCCTCTCATTAATTCAGCCATTTTCCCACAAACACAGAGCCAGAAGGATCCTTTCAAAATGAATATATGTCATCCTCCTCTCGCAAACCCTTTAGTATCTACAAAACCCTTTGTGGTCTGGCTGCTCCCTACCTCTCAGCTTCATTTTGTACCACTTGTTCCCTCATTATATCCCTTTGGGTTAAATTGGATCTTTTTATTCCCGGTATTCACCAGTCTCCCCTTTTCTCTAGGGTCTTTGCACATGCTGTTTTCTCAACCTGGAATGCTCTTCCCCGCGCCTCCTTACTTTCAGTTCACTTCTAATTATCTTTTAGATCCCATTTTATGCTTCTTCAGAGAGCCATTTCCCATCCTTGATTAAATTATGTCTTCTTTAAATCTGTTTTTTGTTTTTTGAAGAGACAAGATCTCCCTTTGTTGTGCAGGCTTGAGTGCAGAGGCATGATCATGGTTCACTGCAGCCTAGATCTTTTGGGCTCAGGAGATCCTCCAGCATCAGTCTCTCCAGTAGCTGGGACCACAGGCATGTGCCACTGTGCCCAACTAAGTTTCTTTTTTCTTCTTCTTCTTCCTATTTTTTGTAGAGACAAGGTATCCCTATGTTGCTGGTCTCAAACTCCTGGCCTCAAGCAATCCTCCTGCCTTGACCTTCCAAAGTGCTGGGATTACAGGCTGCAGCCACCATGCAGGGCTCATGTTCTTAATTTTTTTAAAGATGGAGTCTTGCTCTGTCACCCAGACTGGAGTGCAGTGTCGCAGTCTTGGCTCACTGCAACCTCCGCCTCCAGGGTTCAAGCAGTTCTCCTGCCCCAGCCTCCTGAATAGCTGGGATTACAGGTATGTGTCACCAAGTCTGGCTAATTTTTGTACTTTTAGTAGAACCAGGCTGGTCTTGAACTCCTGACCTTAACTCATATGGCCTCCTAAAGTGCTGGGATTACTGGTGTGAGCCACTGTGCCAGGCCAGGGCCCTTCGTCTGTGTTTTTTTTTCTTTTTGAGACAGGGTCTCACCATGTTACTCAGGCTGGAGTGCTGTGGCTCTTCACAGGCTCTATCCCACTACTGACCAGCATGGGAGTTTGACCTGCCCCGTTTCCGACCTGGGCCGGTTCACCCCTCCTTAGGCTACCTGGTGGTCCCCCGCTCCCGGGAGGTCACCATATCGATGCCGAACTTAGTGATCGGCATAGCGCACTACAGCCCAGAACTCCTGGGCTCAAGCGGTCCTCCCACCTCAACCGCCGGAGTAGCTGGGACTACAGGCATGTGCCACCGTGCCCGGCCAGGGTCCATGTTCTTTAAATTTTTTTGTACTACTGTGTAACTTCCTAGTGGCAGCTATTACCGTTTCAGTTTTGTATTAGTTTATGTGATTGTTTGGTTAGTAGCTCCATAAGAGCAGGTATGGTTTCTGTCTTCCTAATTCCATTCCCAGCTCCATGCACAACACCTGGCTTACCTCTGACCTTTCATGCATTCTTCCCTATGCATGCAGTCACGCCTCCTCCCTTCTCAGGCCTTAACCTACTGTTTCTTCTGCCCAGACTCATTGCTTTGATTTCCTGCTGTCTCACAGCTAGTTTTTTAAGATGTTACCTCCTCAGAGAAACCTTCTGTACTCAAAAGTAGTTAATACTTAAAGTAGAATAATTCCTCCCCCATCAATATCAGCTTGTTTATTTCCTTTACTGTGAGCTGTGATTATTATGTACTTGTTTATCATATATATGTCTCTTCCTACTAGAATTTAAGCTTCCTGCAAGCAGAGGCTTTGTCTGTCTTGTTTCTTGGGGTAACTAACCCTGGCCCCTAACAGAGCTTATTGTAGGCATTCAATAAAATTTTTTTTCCACATGGGTAATGTGCTGACTTTTAACAAGGTTTTAGGGAGGCACATCTCACACACGAGTATGAAAACCGAATCATCATGCTTATGAACTACAAAAGGGTAGAATCTTTGGATTAATGAACACTCCTTGTTTGAGCAAGATTCTAATTTAATCAGATTTGCCTGACTGAAAAATCCATGTTCTTAACCTATTATTATTATTTTTTTCTAAAGGCGGGGCAGGGCGGGGTGGGGGGGGGACCCCACCACCATTAACCTATTATTTTTTGATTGCTCAAGAAATAATAGCATTATATCAAAATTCACTGTGTAGTATGTGCATTCTTCTATGCACTTTTACATATATTAACTCATTTAATCTTCATTTTACAAACGAAGAAACTAGCACAAAGAGACAAAGTAACTTGCTTAAGGTAACATAGAAGAAAGTGTCAGGACCAAGATTCAAACATAGCTAGTGTCTCAATCTAGAACCTATTATCTTAACCACTATGCTATCCTGCATCTAGAAAAAGGAAAAAATGGCTGGGTGCAGTGGCTCCCAGCACTTTGGGAGGCCAAGCTGGGTAGATCACCTGAAGTCAGGAGTTTGAGACCAGCCTGGCCAACATGGCGAAACCCTGTCTCTACTAAATATACAAAAATTAGCTGTGTAGTGGTGGGCACCTGTAATCGTAGCTACTTGGGAGGCTGAGGCAGGGAGAATTGCTTGAACCCGGGAGGCGGAGGTTGCAGTGAAATGAGATTGTGCCACTGTACTCCAACCTGGGTGACAGAGTGAGACTCCATATCAAAAACAAAAAAGAAAAGGAAAAAAGGTTAAAGGTGATTGATCAGAATCCCCAAGATACGATTCCTGCCTTCATGGAGCAGGAATGGATATCCTTATGGCCTATACATCTTCCTTCAGATCTCTGCTTAAGTATCACCTTTCATACAAGCTAAACGTGAACACCTTATATACGAATAGTCTTCCTTCTCCCTATCCCCACCCTGCATATTCTTGTTATTATGCTTTGTTTTTTCCATAGTGCTTATCATGGCTTGATAGCTGTTTTTGTTTGTTTCTCCTCACTAGAATGTACATTCCATGAGAGCAGGGAGTTTGACTGTTTTGCTTGCTGTTGTATCCCCTTTGCCTGGATCAGGCAGGGACTGGCATGCCATCAGCATTCTACATATTCATTGAGTGAATGGTTACTACTTTTTCTCAAATGCACTATATATCTCTTGGTACACAGATGTGTGCATTGTCTATTATTACTGCTTTACAGTTGTGTTGCATTGTTTGAGACATTTTAGCAAGATTTTATGTCATTCACTGTCCATGACTTCACTGCCTTTTGTCATTAAGCTTCATTTGCTGTACAGAAGCTGTTATGGTGTCCTGTTAACTATTCTTCACATCTAGGCAAGAAAGTAGGGTGAAAGTAAGTGTCTTTAATGTTAATAGGTGTCTGTTTTACAAGTCTCTTATACTGACCTGTGGAGGAAAAAGTCAGCTGAGGTTTAGTGATCTGAGATGCATAGTGTTTAAGGATCTGAAATGAAGTGATTCATAACTGCCATACTTTATCTGTTGCTTTTCATTTTAAGTCTATTCTCCATTTATATGAGATGTAAATCATGGCTGCTTTTGTTAAATAGCAAGGAGGATTAATCTGTCCTGTCTGATTTTTGTTCCTAGTTCATGTTCTTTTTTATTTAATCCCCTGAGATCATCCTTAATTACTATTTTTCAGATGACTTCGACTTTGCAATGTATACATTCAATTCTGAGATTTTTAAATTTAGTAGTTTCTTGCTCTCAAAAAGCTTCTTTCTCTATTGATTCTTCTGCTTTCCCTACCCATAGATCCTATCTTTCATTCACACCAGAACCTGTGTAGCCTGATGTTTCTCCAAGTGGGTTATCTGTAACAGAATCCCCTGCTATTTATTAATAATATAGATTCAGTATAGACTGTGCATGTATGAGGAGCTTCCTGGTTATTCTAATTTATTTTGTATTTTTAATTTTTTTGAGAGAGTCTTACTCTGTCTCCCAGGCTGGAGTGCAGTGGTGCGGTCACAGCTTACTGCAGCCTCAACCTCCCAGGCTCTAGCAAGCCTCCCACATCAGCCTCCTAAGTAGCTGAGACTGGAGGATGCCCAGTGAATTAAAAAAAATTTTTTAAAGTCAGGGTCTCCCTGTGTTGCCCAGGCTGGTCTCGGACTCCTGGGCTCAAGCGATCCTTCCCACCTTGGCCTTCCAAAGCAATGGGATTATAGGTGTCAGCCATCACACCTGACCTCTAATGTACACTAAAGTTTGTTTTATCCAATGGACCCCTCCAACTTTATTCTAGCCCATCTTGGCTGTTCGGTATTGCTTTCTCCAGCTTAGATCTTGAAGTATTGCATTCTAGACTTTCAAGGGACTTATTGCTTGCTCTGACAGTCCCTGAATCATTTCCTTTGTCTGTTTTTCCAGTCCATTACTACATCAGTCTTTACGTCAATAGATACCAGTACCCTTTCTCCTTTCTTCCAGCACCACAGCATGCCTGGATGAGAATCCAAAATTACCTCTGTCCCCACTCTTCCTCTTTCTTCAGTTTCTTCTTCTGGAATGGTCTTCAATTTTTGCAACTTCAGCAAAACTCTCTTATGTCTCTCTCCAGTTCTTTCTTTACTCTATCTGAGTTCTGGTCTATAGTTTGAATTGTCTGCTAGATAATCTAATTGCACATTCCACCATCTCTACAAACTGAACATTACTAAAACTAAATGGATCACTTTCACCCCCAAACCAAGTTCTTTTTCCCTCATTTTTTAATGAAATAATTATGAATATGTTTTATTTTTAATTGCAGGCTCTTCAGCAAAAGCCCTTGTCAGTTTAAAAGGTAAGAAGTATAGCATTTTTTAGATAAACCATAGCTAGATTTGGATATAGTGTTTCCATTTTCCTTCTAAGTTATAATTCATTATAGCTTTTCAGTCTTGGTTTTGGCTGATAACCTTAAGTTAATATGCTTTTATAGGAGAATTGATCCTTGGTTGTTAGAAATTATTTTTAAAATTTTCTGAAATTATTGATTAAAAAACTCTAAACATTCCATAAATATCTTGTTTACATTAAAGGCATTTGTTAAACAACTGTGCTGAGCCATATGTTTGTATAATTGTTTGTTTCTTTTTGAGATCGTCTCTCTCTGTCACCCAGGCTGGAGTGCAATGGTGCAATCTTGGCTCACTGAAATTCTGCCTCCCAGGTTCAAGTGATTCTTGTGGCTAAGCCTCTTGATTAACTGGGATTACAAGCATGTGCCACCATGTCTAGCTAATTTTTGTATTTTTAGTAGAGATGGGATTTCTCCATGTTGGCCAGGCTGGTCTCAAACTCCAGGCCTCAAGTGATCTGCCCACCTTGGCCTCCCGAAGTGCTGGAATTACAGGTGTGAACCACTGTGCCCAGCAGAATTTTTCTTTGTTTTTTGAGACAGGGTCTCGATCTGTCATCCAGGATAGAGTGCAGCCTCAATCTCCTGGGCTCAAGTGATCCTCCTGCCTCAACATCTCATGTAGCTAGGACCACAGACACATGCCACCATGCCTAGCTATTTTCTTTATTTTTTTGTAGAGAGGAGGTTTCACTTTGTTGCCCAGGCTGGTCTTGAACTTCTGGGTTCAAGCAATCCTGCTGCCTCGGCTTTGCAAAGTACTGGAATTACGGTTGTGAGCCACCACACCTGGCCCATAATAGTTTATTTTTAAGAATTTTGCTTTCTCCGGGCTCGATGGCTTATGTCTATAATCTCAGCACTTTGGGAAGCTGAGGCAGGTAGACTACTTGAGCTCGGGAGTTCGAGACCAGCCTGGCTAAGATGGTGAAACCCCATCTCTACTAAAAATGCAAAAATTAACCAGGAGTGGTGGCAGGCTCCCAGCTACGTGAGAGGCCGAGGCAGGAGAATTGCTTGAAGCTGGGAGGCAGAGGTTGCTATGAGCCTAAATCTCGCACCACTGTATTCCAGCCTGGGTGACAGAGTAAGACTGTCTCAAAAAAAAAAAGAATCTTGCTTTCTAAGTAATAATGCCTTAAAATAAAAGAATGATTCTAAGAAAAAGTTTGACATGTTCCTTGGTCTCACTATTTCTTTTGGCAAGTACATTAGACTAACCCTTTTAACATAGTCTCTTTAAAATTTTACCTCTTGATTAAGATTCTAGTAGGTAAATACATTTGGAACCAAGCTAAATATTCTCAAAGGTTCATGAGTACTTTTGGTCTTCAAAGCTACTGTGTTGTACTTTGGATTTGTGATTTACCAAATTAAATACTTCTTGCTTGAGAAGACCACTTGTCTTCCAGAATGACCCAGTTTCTTTGCCTAGCAGGATCAACTCCATCCCATCTCTGTTCTTTTGTGATCCTTAAAAAGTATTCCATTATTCTGTTTCTCCCAATATTAAACTAATTTCTCTCTCTCTCTTTTTTTTTTTTTTTTGAGACTGAGTCTCCCTCTGTCGTTCAGGCTGGAGTGCAGTGGCGCAATATCCTGGCTCACTGCAACCTCCAGCTCCTGGGTCAATTGATTCTCATACATCAGCCTCCTAAGTAGCTGGGACTACAGGTGTGCATCACCCTGCCTGGCTAATTTTTGTATTTTTTGTAGAGATGGCGTTTCACCATGTTGGCCAGGCTGGTCTCCAACTCCTGGCCTCAAATGATCCACTCACCTCAGCCTCAAAGTGTTGGGATTATAGGCATGAGCCATTGCACCTTGCCTAATTTTCTTTTTATATATTAAATGTTTCGTATATTAAAGCAGAAAACATTTAGAAAGATGCCCTAAATACAGGCCCAGCATTGTGACTCATTCCTGTGAACTCAGCACTTTGGGAGGCCGAGACGAGAATCACTTGTGGTCAGGAGTTCTAGACCAACCTGACCAACATGGAGAAAACCTGTCCCTACTAAAAATACAAAAATTAACCAGGCATGATGGCACACACCTGTGATTCCTCTATTGAGGAGGCCGAGGCAGGAGAACCGCTTGAACCCAGGAGGCAGAAATAGCAGTGAGCCAAGATTGTGCTACTCCACTCCAACCTG